AGGATTCTCGAGGGGCAGCATCCACCCTATTTAAAGTCTAATCTGTGTAACACCAGCAGGAGCAGCATGAATCTGGTGGACTGGAGAGCCTGCCCAGTTTGGATTTACCTGTCTGTCATAATTTGGCTCTTGTAGAATCAAAAAGTAGCCCTAGAAAGTGCAGCTATATATTAAAGACATCTGTAGGTTAAAAGGAAGTACAACTACACATGGTACTGTAACAATAAGATCCAACCGATGTCTGCAGGGTATTTGCAACTCTCAGATCCCTTTAGGAACATGCACCAAGACTGACATGCTTTAGGAAGGTGAGACAATGTGGTTTTGAGGCAATAAATATGCACGTCTGCAGAATGTTACCGAGATATTTTTGCAATCAGGAGTTGTTTCCTCCTTCCAGTGTAATATGCAGACAGCAAATAACAGAAACAGGCAGGGTATTGCTCAGCTGTGAGGTGAGGTAGACCAAATGCTCCTCACCTGCCTGATATGACACCAATGCGCTCTCTGTGTCACCACTGCAAGTCTTTCAGCTCTCCTAAGGGACCAACAATGGACACACCTATAACCCCTTTCCTTATCACTTCTGATTTTCAGCACTCAGTAAATGCCTTTTTTCCTTGCCTCCTGCCCCCTTCTAGAAGGAGACGTATTGGGACAGTTCACAGTCAACCAAATCGAGGGTGAATGGACAATTTCTTCCAAGAAGCCTCTGGACAGAGAAGATACAGAGAAATATCTTCTCAAGGTTATGGCCTCCGATGGGAAATTTCAGGCTACCACTGAAGTGGAAGTTTTTGTTCTGGATATCAATGACAATAGCCCTGAGTGTGGCCAGGTAAGATGTTTGTCCTGGGACATTAGGGGCACAAGGGGAGCAGCTGGGAAGGAAAGAACATGACAGCAAGGAAGAAAGAACAGAAAGAGCATGTGAAGAGGGTTTGACCTGTCATAATTCTTCTCACACAATCCTGTTGCTTTCATTATGCTTAGCAATTTTAATTAAGCTGCATGTCAAGCAAGAACATTAAATCTAGCCTCCAAGCATGTTTGCCAGCAGTAAGTGAGCACCTAAGCATTATGAAGGATAATTTTTGGAGATAAACGATGCCAGGAAGCCTCCTGGGTAGGGGCATGTAAATTACTGAGTTTTATATCCTGCTAAGCTGAGAGATTCCCATCAGGAGGGTTGTTACTGTAGAGAGCTGATCGTTGGTATGGATGTTACCCATGGTGAGAAAGAACAGAGGTGGTTGCTTCCCAAAGGAGATTCAAAGGCTTGTATGAAATGAGCTCACTGGTCCCCGTCCACACCCCAGCAGCCGGCAATGCGAGGCACATCGTGTTCCCCTATAAACCATATGGTTTATCCTTCTCTACAAAGCTTCTGCTAGTCTGTTCCTCCCCATATGGGATGAAGGTATTCTGGAGACAGCTGAGATGCCAATGACACCTTCTGTCCTTGCCAGATATTCTACACTGGGAGAGTTCCTGAAGACGCTCTGCCTGGTCTTTTCATTTTGAAAATATCAGCAACCGACCCTGACGTTGGCAGCAATGCCCAGATAACGTACAGCCTCCACGGCCCTGGTGCAGAGGAGTTCCGGCTGGGCCCACACACAGGTGAGAGCTGGGCAATGGGATGCTTTTGTCCTCTTCCTCACCCACTCCTGAGTAATGCCAGCTCCTGGTGTGGCTCAACACTTACCTCCTCTTGAACAAACAAAAGGACTGTTCATTCCAGCTCTCCCAAGCTATGAGGGAATGGCAAACAGGCAGTTTTATTGAAATACAGTATAGAGGAGAGTGAGCTCTGCGTCTTCCTGCTAGCTTTCTTTACAAATGTTGGCACTAACATTGTTAAGATGAAGGGCAGACACTATTGCTAACAGCCACGACTCAAGGGGGGGAGAACAGCAAATATTTGGCTTGAGCCAAAGACCCAAGTTCTAAACTCTAAAAAAAATCTTGTTCAGTCTTGTGCATTATATTTGCCCAAACAGACATGATGATCATTCTAGAGATCACCTGGGGTTCATTACATTGCAGAAAGCTTAATACAGCAGGGTTTATAAAGGTGTTTAAAAGCATAATTTATTTACGAGCACTTTTATCCCATGACGGCATCACTTGCATGAAGTTCAGCCCGGCTTGCAGGACACCCTGTGCCAAGCTCTTCCAGGGCACTGGCTGGCAGTGATCTGAGAATAGCCCTGAGCAATGTGGTGTGGACGCATCACTGCTATTAGCTGGATTACAAATGGTGTTCAAACCAGACCTGTTGTCTCCCATGGTTCATCCAGGAAGGCAGCATGCTTGAACCTCTCTGAGCTCTTCTAGGCTGCAGCTGCAGGAGACAAGACCATGTCCTGTTCTTTCTAACAGGGGAACTGACCACATCTGCACCTCTCGACCGCGAACAGAAGCCTATGTACCATCTTGTTGCCAAAGCGACTGATGGTGGAGGCCGTTCCTGCCAGGCAGATATAACGCTGATTGTGGAGGACACGAATGACAACGCACCGAGATTCTTTCCCAGTCACTGCGCTGTGGCCGTTTTTGACAACACCACAACAAAGACACCCATCGCTGTGGTTGCTGCCAGGGACCTTGATGAAGGTGACTCAGAATGAGATTTACTTTTTAGTAGAGTTCATCTTTCACCCTCAATAGAAACCTTTGAAACCTAGGGAAGGGCTCCAGCAATGGGCACAGATGATTGAATCTTGGCGAAGATGTGCCTGGATCTCATTGCTGATACATTATTGACTAGCAGGTTGTCATCAGCATTTTTGTGACCCTGTAGGAAGTGCAGTATCTGTAGAAACATTCAAAGACAAACTTTGAGGACACACTCAATAACTGTAACCGTGATGCACAGTGCAAACTGTGACACACGGTTTGTCTGGGATCCAAACTGGACAGAAACTCTGCAAAGATGAAGGTCAAGAATGAGCACAATAAGGAAAAAAGGAGCTTTAGATCCAGATAGGGTAGATGATATGGATAGAGATGTCCTTCTGAAGACATGAAGATTCTCAGAAGCATAGGTAAGGCTCCTAAGAAAGGAGCTTTGAATAAACCTCTCCAGCAGAGATTGAATTTACAATGACAGGGAAACAAGATCATATTTATCTGCTTTGGAAGCAGATATGAAGGGAAATTACATTTAAAAACAAGGGAATTAAAAATCAGAAGCACCAATAAGTACAGACAGGTGATACTGATGGATGATGGTGAGGATGGCTAGATGTTTGAATCTACAGATAGACAGGGGCACACGCAATGTTCATGCAGCCTCCATTTTCCCTAGGAATTTAAGGTCATTAAGTACACATAGTCCTAATGGATTAAAAAAAAAAAAAAAGTAAACCAAGCAGCATTCCTACCCTGAATTAATGCAGCCTGTCCCTTGTCCTCCCAGGTCTCAACGCTGAGGTGGTCTATTCTCTGTCTGACTCTGCCAACGGACACTTTTCCATTGAGGAAACCACAGGTGTGATCCGTCTGGAAAAGCCTCTGAAGGATTCGCAGCATTCAGCATTTGAGCTGACAGTCTGTGCTACCGACCGGGGCACCCCAGCACCTCTCTCTGCTCTTGGTACCGTCACTGTCTCCGTTGTGGATCTAAACGAGTATCTGCCTGTTTTCCTGGCCCCTGAATACGTGGCCATGGTAAAAGAAGATGTGGCTGTGGGCACAGAAGTCCTCAACTTGTCAGCCTTGACAAGGGACAATGCAGAAACCACAGAGATCAAGTATGAAATTGTGAATGGTAACGACCACGGGAAATTTCAGCTCAACTCAAACACAGGTAGGATGATCTCATGCCCAAGCAGGTCCAAGTTGACCCAACATTAAAGGCTGCCCTCGTATGCGTCTTCTCTGGTTCTTCTCCATTTGGCTTGCACTTCTGCTGCCCTCTGTCTTTAGCTAGAACAAGGGTAGGGCATACAGTCTCTTCTCTTCTACCCTAAATTTTTCCAGCCAAGTCACTTAAGGGGTGATCCAAATCTTACTGAAATTAATGGAGAGATTCTTGATATATGTCTGAGACCTGAGACAGGTCCAAGGGAATGAGGAATACATGGAGAGCATGGATGGTGATGGGGAAATTTTTCCACTTCAAAATGCAGGAAAACATGGTTTCATTTAAAAACTCCATCCTGATCCCACAAGGGACCTGCCGCTTAGGCTAACAGGCAGCTTTATTAGGTGGCACTCAATAAATGTGGATAATACCAATCTGTTAACCATGAGCAAGTGTTGAGCCAGGTTTACTAGCCAAATAAAGCACTGCTCTGTTTGCACAAGGATCTGATAAGAGCCGTTATCTGAAGGCCAATGTTAACTCCCTGAAACAAGCCCTTGGCTGTGTCATCAATGGCCTTCTGCCCTTGGCTGTTACATCCTCATCCACAGTGCCTTCTTCAGCTTCTCTGTCTCCAAGGGTCTTGCTAATTTTTTTCCACACCAATCTTCCTATTAGTTTATACATCTTAAAAGACATACAACAGTGTCATTTCCAGGGAATAATTTTGTAATAGTTGCAGTGTTGAATCCAGGAAAGGATTGAAGCGCACAGGCACATTCTGCTGTGTCATGTCCATCCCCCTCCTTTTTTTCTTTTTCACTTTCACTTTATGTCTTCAGTCCATATTCCTCACTCATTTTTTGAGATTAACAGCCTTCTCCTTTTATGTCATATCCCAAGCCTCACTTACAAATCACAGCATCTTGTCACACACCTTTTTCTCCTGTAGAACTCTGCATCTACATCTCACACCTTTTCATCCTGCCTATGGCACAGTTCAGTGATGCTCTACCACTGCACTGGTCACAGCTTTCAATAGCACTGCTGGAGTCTCATCCTGTTTTGTCCCAGATCTTCTCCAATCAAGATTCCTGGAGACCTTCCAGAATGAAAGTTTATTTCACCTCTTCAAACACTTGATACCAGAGTGAGGCAGGTTATGACGGAATCAGTTCAATTAGAGTTTGTTTTATGTGATGCCATGACCTTCAGTATCCTCTTTAACCAGAGGAGCTCAAAGTCAGGTCAACAGCACCTTTTCAGCTGGCAGTTTGGCAATCGTGTCAGTATATCTCCAGTATTTCAAGAAACCTCACGTGCCATTCATTCAAAGTATCTTCTGTCCTTTTCTATCCATCTACCAATGCAGGTGCCTTATACATCAATGGGAGCTTGGACTTTGAAGCAAGTCACGAGTATTACTTATCCATTGAGGGCACAAGGAAGGGCTCAGCTTCTCTCAGCGATGTGACCATGGTGGTGATCAACATAACCGACATCAATGACCACGCACCAGAGTTCATCCAAGACTCTTACTTCGCTGATATCAGGGAGGATGCTGCAGTTGGAGAAATCATCCTCACGGTATGATTATGAATCAGGCCAGCTGATTTTAGCTGTTCTTTTACTTGTGCTATGCATTATTTACTCTTCCTTTGCACTTTACCTTTCCTTGGACACAGCCACCTCAGTATGTTTGTGACATTCAACACCTAAGATTTAAGCATGACTTTAAAAAAGGATAATTGCCAGAATTCCTGAAACTCCATAGACAGGGAGAACACTTTGCCTTATAAGACATCTTTAAGTGAAAGGTTGAGATACCTAAGGGGCGGGCTCAGGAGCTTTGAGGACCTCCCAAGAGAACTAAAATGCCTGCAGAAGGCAAATATCCTTGTGACCTGGGGAAGGCAGAGGCTTCCCTGGGCAGAACAGTGGAGCCCAAGGTATTTCCATGTGGAGTTCCCTGCCCAGACTGTTACCATCACAAGGGTGGTAAAGTTAGGAAAGGGACAAGGAGAAAGTCATTGTTGTAGCCGTGTTGAGTTTTGTCTTGAAAAAAATAGTGAATGACACTTATGCAAACCACCTTCCTTCCTCCTCCTCATTTGGGGCAAGCTCAAACCAATACCCTTAAATGATAGGCAGGTCATAGAATCATAAAATCATAGAACAGTTTCAGTTGGAAGAGACCTTTAAGATCATCGAGTCCAACCTTTGTCCTAGCAAGTCCAACCTTTGTCCTGGCAAAGGTCCTGCCCCCATTCCTCCATGGCCTTTTTGGAAGAGGGGTCCTAGCTTTTTTTTCTCCTTGCAGGTGTCAGCCGATGACTTAGACGGAGCAATGAACAATCAGATTACATATTCAATCGTGGGAGGGAACCCGCTGGAACACTTTGCCATTCAACCCAAAAATGGGCAAATCAGCATCGCCAAGCATCTGGACAGGGAAGAGGTGAGTTCAAGAAAACAGGAACAGGAAGGCTTAAACAGATGTGCCCCAAAAGACAGAGGGAGCACAGTATATCCAACTGTCTCCTGTTTTCTGAATGATCTACTCGTAATACTGTAAGCAGAAGGCATTCTTTCATTCATTCATTTTCTAGACACATAGATACTGCTGTAGGAAGGCTGGGCTTTAGGGAAGGCAATATAGCCTTCAGCAGTCACAACTCTGGGCTTTGGTTTGCTCCACTAGTGCTTCAAGCTGGCTATGTGAGATTCAGCCCCAAACTGGAAAACAACATGGTTGGTTTCTGCTTCCCTGCATCAGAGCAGTAGAGAAAACAGGTGTGGGGAGGAGATGGAAAGGTCATCTGGGCAATCTCTCATTCATAAACCAGTAGCAGTTCAAACCACTTTTGACAGATGTTTGCCCAGCTTGGTCTCATCCGTCTTTGGCAAGTTGTTTCCCTTCTCTGCAACTACTGTGAAGATGATTTTCTTTAGCAGTGTGCTTTGAGATTTATGGATGGAGAGCCATAGCCAAGGGCAAAGCTATTGTTATGGTGCAATGCATGGCCTCAAGCATTTCAACAAGCTGCAGCAGGGTAAAACATCATTGTGAAAAAGCTACCAGTCCTCCATTTCTCCAAGTAATCATGCACTACAAATCCTCCAGATCCCCAGTTATTCCCTGACAGTTCGAGCCACGGACAATGGACACCCTGCTCAGTTCAGTGATGTCTCTGTACATGTCCACGTGTCTGATGTCAATGACAACCCTCCTCGGTTCTTCCAGCTCAACTACAGCGTGGTGGTACAGGTAAGCCAGGAGGCGGTTTGTTCTCCCAGTCTGTCTCAGAGTGCATGGGCTGGTGTTGAAGCAGAGGGGTGAGACACTGATGAAGCACACTGTTGCTTTGTGCTTATTGCCACAAAGAACTGGTAACATCTGCAGGGGCAGATATTCTCCCAACAGATGACATTTTCTCTTTTCAATAGCTTCAGGCACCTCCTGCCCTTTCAGTACAGAGAGCACAGAGCTTTTCACACTTTTCACACCTGACCAGCAGCCCCTTTCCCCATTGTGATCATCCATGTCTACACCACAGTGTAAAGAGCAGACCCAAGCACACGGTCAAACATCATCCTGTCTGCAGCCCCGTTGTTGCTTGGACTCAAAACACCAATGCGTACTCAGAAAGAAACGTACACAGAACACGCTTTCATCTGCTCTTGTGCTGATCTGACTCAAGGGGAAAGCCAGGGCATGAGCTCAGCTGTATACACTTAGCTGCCACATATGTAATGCCATGAAAGGGACTCCCTTGCCACCGCTGGGTCTCTCTCTGCTGTTGCTGGCAAGACTCTCAGTCTGCATGTACACGGGGTGTGGGATTTGTTTCCCTGTTCCTTGTCCAGCAGCTCTAGGGGTACTGTGGATTCCCATGGGTCTTGTCTTTTTGCTCGCCTCTCTCCACTAGCACCTTTCCTCTTTTCAGGAGAATGCTCCTGTGGGTACAAGCGTCCTGGAGCTGATTATGAGTGACAGAGACTCCCCAGAAAATGGACCACCGTATTCATTCCAGATCACGCAGGGCAATGATGGGAAGGCTTTTGATGTCACCCAAAATGGTCTGCTGGTGACATCATCCGTCCTGAACAGAAGAACGAAAGAACAATACCTACTACAAGTCCAGGTAGAGCCTGCCTTGCTGTCCTGGTATCTGAATTCCCCAGCCAGATTAAGTAGCAACAAAATGAGATTAGGATGGCACAGCTGGATGGAAATATCTCCGGCTTTGGAGAAATCCAATCCAGGCACAAACTGTGTAGCTTGGAGCCAGCTCCAGGGCTCCTTTCTCCACACAGTCTGCCCATAAGAACATGGGGACAGCTTCTGCAGTGATAAAAACCAGATAATATGATCATGAGAAATATTCTGCCAGCAGTTTCCTTAGACAGATGCTTTCCCTAGCATCATTCTAGTGGCTTCCAGTTTAAAGTGATACCTGGATCTGGTCCTACAAACTTTCTCCAAGTATCCCTGTCATTTAAGAAGAAGTATAAATGTCTCTTCAGAGAGGATTTCTGTTGTTGCAAAGTTAATTAATTAATATTCAGTGTTATCAGTAAGGGTAGTCCATTACAAACAAAAGGATAATAACATGTAAAGTACATACTTCTTCAGTAATGGTAGCTGTCCTAAAAGTTAGATACAACTATATTATAAACCTCAACCACTAACTGCCTAAAATTAGGGAGAAATTTATGCTATAATTTGATTATTCAAAATTTTTTATTTTGAGGTTCCTTGACTCATGCTAGACAGACACAGTCAGAGGTGGGGCACAGGCTTAAATACTCCAGGAACAAAGGTGTTGACATGTGTAACTGCTTTATATCTTTGTACACTCAGTTATGCATGGAACCCCAAAGATTGGCAACATCTCTACAGCTGATTAATACTCAGGAAATCAGAGCCACTCAGGTGTGCCTCAGCTGCTGATAAGCACACACAGAAATGAGCGCGACCCCACTGCTAGCAGAAGGTCCCGATTAGTCTCCATGCTGGAAGGCATGCTGTCATTTCCCTGGGAACATCTTCAGGCAGAGGTCCAACACTGCTGCCGATTTTTCCCATTCCTTCTTCATTCCCAACACGCTGCCTCACAGCTTCCACCCATTGCTCCCTGCAAGGCACTCTTCTTCGCAAGACCTTATCAGCCTGTCCAGTCAGGTGAGGCTACAGTAAGTCAGCATGTGGCTATAATGGATCCTTCTGTTTTCCTTGACAGGTCTCTGACAGTGGTATCCCTCCCCTGTCCTCATCTGCTTTTATAAATATCCAAGTGACTGAGCAGAGCCAGTACGCCCCCTCAGCCCTTCCCCTGGAAATATTCATCACCACCAATGAGGAAGCCTTCCGAGGTGGCGTTCTGGGCAAGATCCACGCCACGGACCGAGACCCCCATGACACACTGGTGTACACTTTGGTGGCAGAAGTGCCCCAGGAAGGGCTTTTCTCTGTTGGGGCTGCAGATGGGAAGATCATTGCTGGGAACAAGCTTCCCCATGGCCACTATCTTCTGAACGTGACAGTCAGCGATGGTACATTCACAGCCACCACCAGCGTCAACGTCCATGTGTGGTGCTTCACGCAGGAGGCCTTGGACAAAGCAGTGGTGCTGCACTTCCGTCACCTCTCCCCTGAGGAGTTTGTGGGGGACCATTGGCGCAACTTGCAGAGATTTCTGGGAAATATCCTTGTCACCCGGCGCCAAAACATCCACATGGCCAGCTTACAGCCTGCAACTACCTCCGACGGAGTGGACCTTCTCTTGGCTGTTGGAGAGCCACATGGCTCCCTGTTTGAGCCTCGGGTCCTCGCAAATAAGATCACTGTGTCAGCTGGGGAGATGGACCAACTCGTTGGTCTCCGGATGAAGAAAGCAATTCATGTGCCGTGTCATGGGTCAGATTGTGCCCACCGTGTCTGCAAGGAAACCATTCAGCTCGATCCAGGCATGATGTCTACTTACAGCACTGCCCGACTCAGCGTCCTCACCCCACGGCACAGCTTAGAGCAAATCTGTTCTTGCAATGGTAAGCAATCCTTCCTGGTAGTGTCCCACCCTATAAACCTGGGCATATCATGTTTTCCTTCAGTAGAATCAGAGAATCATTTAGGTTGGAAAAGACCTTTGAGATCATCAAGTCCAACTGTCAACCTAGCACTGCCCAGTCCAAGTACACTGTAAAACACCTGGACTTTCCATGGAATTAAGTTGCCCAATGATCAACAACTCTGACCGCAATTTCAAAGACAAATCTAGATATTAGAGCTTGAAAGTTTCACGTAGGTTTTTGGTTGTTTTTTTTTTTTTAAATCTCCTGTAGCGTTTAATAGCAGCAACATCTATCTATCTCATTGGGAAGAGTCACTTATGCCTAGCAGGGAATGAAGCTCAGTGATCAGAATTTCAATCTTGAGCTCCTGTGTTGATCCTAGACTCAGCAAAGCGCAGACTAACTGATAAATTTGAGGAAAGCCAAATAAAACATATTTGTTATACCCACTCTAGAATAAATGGAGGGAGCAGGGATAGAGGTTAGCATCATTTGGGCAAGAATGGTAGGTGGATACCATAGCATAATATAAAGATTTATTAAGGAGGAGGAAATTCAAGGGTGTTGTAGAACACACTGAGGGCACCTTGAAGGTGCTATAGGACAGAAATAGCCAGGTTGCTGTTACAGGATTGTTTTACAGTTGAATACATAGAAGAAATACTGGGAGCTCCAAATGGGAGCTGTGGGAGATGCAGTGCAGCTGTACATCGGTTGCTCTGGATGCAACTGTTCCTGGAGAGTTATGGTGTCAGGCTGGAAAAAAGAGACAAGGCCTGATACAGTCTACAGTCTCAAAGCGTGACAAAGATGAGATCTTTCACTCATTATCCTTCCAGGAACAGCTGTGAGGTTTGGGGGCCACAGCTACATTTGGTACCAGCACTCACAGATCGGCTCCTGGCACATGCACTTTCGCCTGAAGACTCACCAGCTGCACGCTGTCGTGTTCCATGCTAACGGGACTGACCATGCCACTTTGGAGGTATGTATTGCAATGCATGGGGATTTCTTTCCAATGTTAAAAAATCCTTACTCTTTCAGAGAAGGGAATCACAGAAAGACGATGCAATAATATGTAACCTTAGTAATTCGTCTAGCTAAATAAGACTTGAGAAGACCAAGTGAGAGCCAAGCACGGTTTGGCAATTCCTGCAACCACAGCTAGTGAATCATCTTTTACATCTGTGAATGCACACACTAGTCTCTGGTTTGAAGGCAGCATACACCCATATGCTAGATCTACATCGTCGTCTTTCCTTACAGCTTGCTTCTCCATCCCTCTCTTATATCTCGCCTCTCAGAGCAAAGAATTTACCAGGTGGAATTTTCCCCACTGTAGCAAAGGGAAATCTTGTCCCCAGACTTCAGGAGTGGAGTCAGACTGCCACTGAACACACAAACCATTTGCCAGACCACATTATGGCTTAATCCAGCACAGAGGAGGCAGATGCATCAGGCTAGAGGTTTGGGGTAATAGGGTAGAGACAAGGAGGGCACAAGTGAGCTCTGAGATTGGGAATGATATGACCAGCCTTTACCTGCATCAGAGCGTGTGCCAGTCAGGTCCTGTGTCTAATCAAATGCACCTCAAATTAAAGGTCCTTTACAGTAATGGACAGAACAGAAAAAACAGTCTCAAATGCTATTTCTCAGCACACACCCCCACTCTTTTCAACCACTTTCTTCAGGTGGTTTCACTGTTTAATATACCTGCAGAGCCAGGAACATTTCAGTCTGATTGCTCTCCCCGTGACTGCACACTGAATCTACCCAGCATTCAAAGATTATCTCACTCTTCCACTTTGGCAACAGAAGGAAAGCAGCAGATGACCAAAGAATAGGCGTTTTTGCATATTCTTCATCAATTAAATTCAGACTAATAGGAGACCAAGATCATAGGATATACTTATCAGCTTACAGAGATTGTCCCTAAGAATAATCACGTTGAGATCTACACACTGTAACCTGCCTGGAAGCGCTCATCTTGTCCCTGAATTCCCTCATCCCTTCTCATGGTTTCACAACCTCATCTTCCTATTTTGAAATACTTTTCTTTCCGCTGTTATAAACGACCTACACAGAGAGCTGCACAGCAGCCAACGCCCAAGGGACCTGCCCAAAGTACATATTGCAAGATCCTGCTGCCACAGCCATTGCTCCTTAAGAGCAAGAGCAGAGAAACATCATCCGTATGTCCTGTACCCATCTCCAAGAGTGACTTTAAGCTGCATTGCAAAGGGCTGGTGAGAAAAACTTGGCTTCTGAGGAAGGGTCTCTAGCTTTCTGCCCCATCTCTGGAAAGGAGAGTCACCGAGTAGTTCAGCACTCCAGATGGTGCTCAGAAAGGATGAGATGGCAGGAAGCTCTACTGAGCCAGGCCTAACACACGGAATCAAGGGAGAAAAGACTCATTATTGATGAAGTACGGTGTGCCCATGATCTCCTGTACTCGGGTGTCTCCACAATTTTTTCAATAGGAAACATTCATAAAGCCTCCACCATAAAGTTGCCTGTGAATCATTTCTTCCCTGATTCACTTTATTAACCAGGGATCAAACCTTTTCTAGATCATCTGGCCTGAAACAACTGAAGGAATCCCTCAAGATTTTAAGCTTTTTAGACAGCAGTACTCTAGCTAGGAGCCAAGGCTTTGAAAGAATCATAACTGATGGTTTGTAGATTTGGTGGAGGATGAGTTCTCCCAAGGGCATGCATATCATCACCCTTCCAATCACTAAGCTCCCCTGATGTTCAGAAATAAGTTGCAGCAAGAGGATGGCAAACCAGGCAAGCTGGGAAAGACTTGGCAGTCTGTCAGTTCTTGCTCCAGGGAATCGAGTTCTCAGCTGTCTCCCAGCCTCAGAAATTGATAAGCCCAATCTACAGACCCATCTGAAGTGAAATCATGTTCCTCCAGATAAAGTGAAGTGACAGAGTTCTCTGATGCACTTGCCAGTTGTGCAAAGAGATTTACACACATGTTGCCCTGAGGCCCTCCCAGTGGCGTGTGCCAGCTGCGTCTAGGTCTGCCTTCTGTCAGCAGTTACTCTCTCCTCCCACTGGCATTTACTTATACCATGGGCTTCTCTGAGAGTTAACTGTTGTTCTTCTCTACTTTGACCCCTCCAGAGTAGTCCCATCCTATCATATGTAGGCTCCTCTAGAGTTCAGCATAGCCCATAATCACTCCTCTTCTAGCCTTTTCCAAGCATCACCCTCCTCGCTGTCTCTAATGCCCCCCGTGGAGATCTGTTTTGCCTGGGATTAATTGCTTGATGTTACATAGCAAGCTCCGCAGGTTTTCCATGAATATTTCCATTTCCATCTCTTTTCTCCTTCTCCATAGGCTCTTGGCTTCTATCAGCGAGGTTTTATCAACAAAGCGCTGGGGAGAAAAAGGTGAAAGTGGGGGTTACCCCTGACCTCACCCTGAAACAACACAGCTAACCTTTCCTTTCTCCTGCCTCCATACGGGTTTTAAAGATTAATCTTGGGCCGCAAATAGGAATTTTTGATGTCCCAGTTTAATGCAGAAGACACTGTGTGGTTCACTTCTAGCAGCTCAATATTTCATCTCCCTCCCATCTGCTGATAAAGGACCGAATTGCAGCACCTACTGGCAGCTTTGGCCTGGCTTTCCAGCACGCTGGTTAGGAGCTTGGTACTACAGTAATTCCTTTCTCTGTCTCCCTACTCCTCCTTGCCTCCTCCAGAGAAAGCTGCCAGTGCTCCTCCTTGACAAAGTCCTTTCAGCACCCTCACCCATGCCAAAGGGGCAACTGCTCCAGCACCTTCCCCACCACTAACGAGACAGTGGGAACAGAATAAAGGCCACTTGGCCCAGAATAAGAGTCCATCTGTGACTGGTGATGGCATTACGGATAGTCTGAATACCAGGGCTCTGATTAGGCTCAGAAAGGGGGCAAAAGGGGTGAGCAGCTGCAGGAGCATGATCACATGGCTCTGTACCCTGTTACATGGAAAGATGAGCCTCCCTCCCTGCATACTGGTCAAAGGTTGCAGGGAAGGACCACAGGTGAAGTTGTGCCAGGAGATTTTGGAAAATAAAGGAGGTTGCAGTCACTTAAACAGGCTTTCATTGATCCATGCATAGCTTAATATGGGTGAAAGGAGCTGCATTTGCCTAGCCTGAAAGTTGGGATTCATCTTGACTCTCAACATTTAGGCAGGGAGAGAGGGGAACAAGCAGCAAGAGAAATGTTGAAAGCCTCCATGAACAGCAGGCACCTGTATCACAGCTAACTGTGACTTCTGGGACGTGTTTTGCAGATGGTTAACGGAGTGCCTCAACTTGGGTACAGCTGCCGGGGGAACTACACCGGGAACCTCTCCTCCTCACGTTTTGTGAGTGATGGTGAGTGGCACTCAGTCTTCCTGGAGGTGAAGAATACATCTGTCCGCCTGCTCATCGATGGCCTGGGAAACGCCTCTCTCCAGCTGCCGGGGACCTGTAGTATCTCCCAGGGCAGACGAGATCTGCTTTTTGGGGGCTTCCGGCAGCCGCTCCAGTCTCAGAGAGTCACGTGGGGCTTCAGGGGCTGCCTGGACGTGGTTGCCATCAATGGCAGAGAAGTGGTTCTCCTGCCCGGGAAAGGGCAAGCCAAGGAAGTCATGGAAGCAGTGGGGATAAAGCAGTGTTGCTCCCCCACTGGCGCCTGCAGCAGCAACCCATGCCTCAACAACGGGATGTGCTCTGAAACTCATGGAGGAGGTATGTGAACATCCCACGCAGAGCAATAAGCAGTGAGGGGAGGGGAAGACGCAACCTCTTCATTCATCCCTATGCAAGGGGCTACTGCAGAGGAAAATCAGAGGTCCCCTGTCCCACAGGACCTGAAGCAATTGATAGCTGACTCAGTGCAGCAGCAGCTGGAGGGTATGAGATCATCCTACTAGCTTTCACCAGCAGACCATTGCCCAGAGAGCAGGAAGGTGTTTCTAAGGAGTGTGTATGAGGTAGGAGAGCTCAACATTGCCAAAAACTCAAATGCAAATAGGAATTCCATCTACCCTCTGCATCCTCTTTGCTTAAGGAGCCATTAGAGAGACTGGAATCAGGCAAGATGGGATCATGCAGCGATGGTATCTGGGCAGAAACAAGCCAAGATCTTGGTCTATTCCCACTGACCCCTCAGGGCTATGGGAAGGGATATGGGAAAACCATAAGTTCAATTCCAAGAGTCTCAGGCTAACATGGGATGTGCATGCTCAACAGAGGTTTGATATCGGCCTCTATGCAAGATAGTCTCACCACTACCCCATTCCTCCCATCAGAGGGTGTCCCCCCAGCGAACTGTATCACAGGGACAAGGCTAATTTGCGGTAGCCTCGAAGGGAAGAACTTCTCCCAGTGATGTCCACCATTGTGTCACTTCCCTACCCCCATGTCCCAGCTTCCAGCACAGCAGGGTTGCACCCCGTAACACCCGTCTATTGAGATAGCTATCGTCTGCACTTTGGCCCTTCCTTGGGGCAGAGGGGTGCTTCCCAGGCTGCTGCGGGGGCAGAAGCTCCTTCTGCACCTCTGTGCTCTCTGAGGCCATTGCCAAAACCCACACCCTGCCCAGCAAGCAAGCAAGCATGGAGGAGGGAGCACACCTCCTCCTCCTCCTCCTGCTCTGCCTGCAGCCTCTGGGAACAAGATTCTCAGCCCTGTCAACTCAGCAGCTGCCTGGTTCAGGTAAACTTGTTTGACATGAGGTGCATCTGTACCAAACAGTTAGCCTGGCTGGCATTTGCACCTCAGCCTTACCCTTGAGACCTGGGCTGGAAGGGGCTGAGAGCCCCTGAGGCAAAAACCCATCTCTGTTCAAAGTCAAGGCATCACCTGCTTCCTTTGTAGAGAGAGTATGTTGGGAGGGGGGAGGAGGAAAATCACTCCCTCACTAATAATCACCCAGTGCCCTTCCCATAGTTTCCTTCCAAGGTGATCAACTTCTCCTGTAAACAGTCCAGCTGCCCAGGAAAGAGCCTATGGGACACTGCCGTGGGCAGAAACACGCAGGACACTGCTGCACGGAAGGAGTTGCTCAAGGGATATTTAATTGGTGAGGTTATCCTGGGTGCTTGGCTTCCTTGAGCATTTTGGGCTCAGTCCTGGAGACCATGGGCATGCAGCACGAGTTTATGCAAAGCTCTGCCTGGGGATCTCAGGCGTGGGATTACATGGACAGGCAAAGACACGCCTGTGCAAGACAGCCTGGGTAAGCCACGTGGCTGCGTGAGAACGCATCTGTGCGGAAAGGGTCAAAGCCAGAGCAGCCACCACATCAACCACAGCGCTCAGGACCACAGGTGCAAACACAGGAGAACCCCCGCATCCAGGAACACGTGTGTTTGGGCACACGCAGCCCTACAGGCAGTGTCCAGCACCTGCTGCGCAAGCGTCGGCACGTCCCTGTCGTACAACCACTAACACACATGTGGAAACAGGTCTACATTGGTTCACCCTGTGCTCTAAAACAGGGATGTTTAGCTTGTGGATGCAGAGTAAAGACTTCTCAAGCACGCTGCAAGGTGGAAACTCTGAACTTCCTGCATGGCACCACCAGCTGTGTGACTAGCAGCAGCTCAGCACAGCCAGGAACATTCCCATGCTTAGGGCTGCACTAAACAGCAGCCAAAAACACAAAGAGCAGCAGCCCCCTCCGAGTCCCCAGCTATGCTGTGTTTCACTCTGGCTGCGAGAAGACACCTCCTATAGGCAAGAGAAACCTGACGTGTTGAGACAGGCACTTCATACCACAAGAACTCGCAGGACCAAAGGCTTCAGAGAACAATAAGTTACAGAGGATTGCACTTAGCAGAGTCAGAAACTATGAATCAGCCAGCCAGGCTCCCCTTCCTTTGACCTGAATTTGTCCCCCAGCTTCTCCACGCAATAAAGCCGTGCCCTGCATGCATCCCCGGCAGGAGAGGGTCTGTGTCAGGAGAGGACAGGCTTGAGTTGTTGCTTAGATAGCTCTCTAGTGCCATTGCACTGCCCCAGAGTGACCACCCAGCCTTCAGCCACTGCTCCAGGTCCTGTAACGTACCCACCAGCCCTCTGTGGATGGCTTGGGTGCTCCACAGCACCTGCTGCAGCAGCAAGTACCTATGCTTAGGCAGCCAGATTGAGCCCTTTGTGGGTGCCACCAGCACCAGGCACTGCTCCTCCCTGTTCTTGCTAGTTCTTCCATACGGACCCAGTCTCTGTATGGCACTCTCTCACCCTCTCCAGGTTACACCTGCATCTGTCCCGGGCTGTTTTCTGGTGAGCGCTGTGAGCTAGGGGACAGTCCCTGCGAGTCCAAGCCCTGCCTGCACGGAGGAACCTGCACCCTCTCCGCCACTGGCTACTCCTGCCACTGCCCTGACTGGTACATGGGCGAAAGGTAAGGTCCGGGAAGGCTTCAGGACAGGTGATCTCCCATGGTGGGCTAAAAACATGATCTCTACCAACAAGCACTGCACGTTTCTGGAGCTCAGCAGATCCAGACACCCCGGGATTAATTGCAAATCGCCATGTACATAACCACTGCAGCAGGGAAGCGTCCGGAGGCAGACCTGAGCAGATCAGGACATAAACAGCTCTGCCATCGTGTGGTCATTGTCCCTCTGTGCCCGTCTCCTCTGAGCAGGAGGGGAAAAAAAGAAAAATCTCCTGTCCTCACAGATGCTTTGAGTGCCTGCAGATGCTACGCTTGGTGCGGGTTCAACGTCCCTCCTTGCAAGGGGACAATCCCCACGCTGTGAGCTGAGCTTGGCTGTGATGGGGACACCCTGGCAGCAGGGTGTGGGCAGGCACTGCGCTGGGTGGCAGGAGGATGCCCTTTGGCTGCGGGCAGGCTGGCTAGCATGGTTGTGAGCTGCCCTCTCTTTCAGTAGCTGGGACACCCACCCTGGGTGCTAAACGGGCTGTTTCTGTCCAGGACCAGCTCTGCAGGGCTCACCCAAGGGGAATTTCTGTCCCAGGTCGCAGCCATGATTCATCTAATTCAAAGCTCAGCTCAGGATAAGTGGGCCATGCTGAAAAGCAGGTGCAGGGTGCTATTCCCCCTCTCCTGTCAGATAGCCTGTGGATCCCCATTGTCACGAGGTGCCAGAGTGTTCAGCTTTGGCCCTGAACCCTGTGGTTTGTATCACTTTGAAGTTCTCACCACCAGCGTTACAGCTTGGGTACATTTCCCATACATGAAATGTCAGTGCATACTTGCCTGAGAATTAACCCAGGCCCAGAGGCTTCTCTGCAGCTCAGCATTACCCATCGCAGTCACGCATCCCCTCCAAGCCCCCTGCCCTGCCTCTGGCCCAGCCTGATGAGAGGTGCCCAGCGCAGGCTCAAACAGCATCACGTCCAGTTCATCCTTCTGCCTTTGCCGTTTAGCCAGCATGAACATTGGTCCTTTGACCATCAATGCAAAGGCAGAAATTATTTGTGCAGCTCTTGGAGTAAAAGTATGCAGCTGAGCATTAGGTGGCAGTGCAATATCTGAAATCACTAATCAGCCAGCCAGAGCCGGGGGGTGCATGCTGCACACACCAGCTCACACATCCTAAAACACTGACTAAGAAACAAGAGGAGCCCAAACCTCAGAGAGTTTATTCAGTAACAAGAAAAAAAAAAAAAAAAAAGCAAAGCCAACAAAACATTGCATATTCCCCTGTCCTGGTTTGAGCTAAAACAGAACTAATTCTGTTCAGTGATTTTACTTTTTACTTAAGTCTTTTCTAAGTAACTGCACTTTCTGAAACCAACAGCAGGTTTTTCCAGACAGCAACTGCTTCTAGTAGTGATAGCGCTTGATTTTTGTAGTTAACACCCTAGCATGGGGAGATCATTACCGTTGGAAGAAAAGGTCTCCCTCTACTGTTGGGCAATGTTTAGGTTGTGTGGGGTGGAGCAGGATAAAGAATCAGAAATTTGTCCTCCATTCTGCAGATGCTCCATAAAATGCCAAAAACTTCTCCAACAAGGATGCCCATTCACCACTTCTCAGGCTAGATTTTTCCTAAATGTTTGCTGCAACCTGCAGACATCCACAAATCACTCCAAGACCCCACAGAGCCTGGAGAGCATATGAGACTCCACAAGAGGTTAACACATCTCAGAGTGACCCTGGGCTCCCTAACTTAACAGGATGGGAGCATTTCTCTATGCAGTGTTAGCTCTAGAAACTCTAAATATTCCTCTGAGGCAGGAAGCCCCCCATTTTAATTTGTTGCATATGACTGAAAAATAGGACCATCCTGTAAAACTTCGTCTCCTGAAAAGCATCATTGTGTGCTCAAGGATCATGGTCCTCTGCCAGAAGAGGCAGGTAGCATGAGTCTAGCAAGGGAGGGAGAGCAGACCAGGATGGAGCGTCCTTGGCTGGTGTAAGTCAGAGCCCTGAAGAGAATGATGCAGTTTTAGCTGCATCCCCAGGCTGACAGTGGTTGTCCCCATCCTTTCTTCCCCACAGGTGTGAGAAGCTGGCCGAGGAGTGCCAAGACAACCCATGCCGAAACGCCGGGCGCTGCGTGAGCAACCAGGGCTCCATCCGCTGCATCTGCCCATCGGATTACCAGGGGCACTACTGCACGCAGCCCATCATCACCCCTGCCATTGTGCCCACGCAGTGGGCGGTGGGCCCCGAGGAGATCGCGGAGATCGTAGCCGGCGTGCTGGGGGTGGCCATCCTGGCCGTGGCCTTCGTGCTTATCCGCAAGCGCTACCGTCACCGGGCCAAGGCACACAAGCCCGTGGCCCGGGAGGACCCCGACCTGCTCTCCAAGAGCGAGTTCTCCAAGAGCGTGGGTGTGGGCACCCAAGCCGTGCCACCCATCGAGCTCAACATCCTCAGCGACACGGCACACAACAACCTCGACCGGGCTACGCCGGAGCAGCGCAAACCCACCGGCACCCCTGAATTCGTCACCTTCAACTCGGCCAACGCCCCAAAGCACCGGGGCACCATCGTGTGCAGTGTGGCACCCAACCTGCCCCCCGCTGCACCCCCCTCCAACTCCGACAACGAGTCCTTCATCAAGTGCACATGGGCCAGGGAGGAGATGGGTCAGTAGCCGCAGCTGTTTCTTGCTCTAACACGTCCCTCTTCCCCTTGTGAAGTGGACCAAAGGTTTGCAAACATGAGGAACCAACAGTGTGGGTTAAAGCTAAGCAAAGTACAGGCAAATACTGACCAAGCCCTGCTATAGATCCTTGATTGGGTCTTCCCTCCTTGCTCACCAGTACATCCCAGTTTTCACCTTTAACCTGCTCAGTCTGGTACACCATCAGCAGGGAAACAATTAGTGCATAGCCTGGATTCCCACGCACCCTGGGTCATAAGACCCTATAAAAGAGAATAATGGAGCTAGGGGGGAAAAATCAAGATCCTAAAAGTCAGTGTGAGTTTTAGTGGAGGTGTTTGCATCAACGCTCCTAGGCAGGCGGATCACACCCTCAGGGAAACACCTTGCATGGCTCCAGAGAGCTGGTTACTGCTTTCTCACCCACATACAGTGTTAGAAGAGAGCGCTCATAAGAGTAACTACAGGGAAAGGGACAGATCCAGTGGGTCACTTGCTCTGCCTCCATCCCTTCATCGTGCAAGATTCTTGCATCCAAATGGCACAATAAAGTGTGTGTTTTGGGTGCTGGAGGAGTGGATGTCTGAAGGCTAGTGGGAACACTGCTTTGGCACAGCCAGGGGTGCCCTCAGGTCCCCTCAATTCCCAAAGTAGCAACTATAACTCCCCTGTCCCCACATCTCCTCTCTTCCCTGGTCTGCCCCATCTCCTGCACGCTCACAGACTACAGAAGGGAGGGCAAGAGAGGGAAAACAACAGCTTGAACTGCAGCTATGCAGCTAACACATCTCTGTTTTATTCCAGTCTACCCAGCAGAAACAACCTACTGGCCTCCCCGGTACCTGTCATCAGATGTCCAGGAATATTCCCACTACGAGATCATTCAAGGCCCCCCTGCATCCTCCTCCCACCCTCCTCTCCCGCCACCACCCCCTCCACCAGCAGAAGCGGAGCCGGTTGCTCTTTACGGGGGCTTTCCCTTCCCGCTGGACCAGAGCAACAAGCGGGCCCCCATCCCCCCCCGCTACAGCAACCAGAACCTGGAGGACTTCTTGCCACTTGGCCCCGTGGACGTGGGAGCCTCCCAGTGCCAGAACGAATACACGGCCATCAGCTACTACCCAGCCCAGCTAGTGCAGGGCGAGGGTGTCCCGTACCAGCCCGACCCCGGCTACAAGCGGGTGAGCATGCGCCTGAGCGTGGCCCAGCCCTCCTACGCAGACTGCGAGGTGGGCCACCAGCCCAGCATCCGGGCCCAGCCCCTTCCACCCCCCAACTACGAGGGCTCTGACATGGTGGAGAGTGACTACGGGAGCTGCGAGGAGGTGATGTTTTAACTGGGGGCTTGTTCTCGAGATGGGAAGAGAAGCACATCTCCACGCAGAACAGTGTGCAGGGGGCTGGCACGTGCCACGGAAGGGAGGCTTATGTGTCCCCCCCGCAGCTTGCAGCATCTCCTCCTGCACAGCCGGGTTGTAATTTGGCTGGATCTTTCCCCCCGCCGCCCTCCACGGTGCTCCTGCTGCAAACGGAGGGGAAATGCTCCAGGCACTGCCAGGACATGGAGGATGCTCCTGGGATGCCAATGACTAACCTGCCTCCTTGCCAAGGGGACTTCCTCCGACATCTCGCAGGACCGCAGCATGCCACCTCCTCCCACCCCAGGCTCCCTGGTCACAGGGATGATGAGGAGGAGGAAGGCAAGCACTGTGCAGGCATGGCAGCAGTCATGGTGGAGAAGGTGTGAAAGGACTAGCGATGCACAGCCTGGGAGTGCCCCAGGTGGGATAGCAGAGGCTCCCTGCCCCCAGCTCTGGCTCCGAGGGCTTGCATCAAGCCAAGAGTTTGCCCAGTGAAATGGATCAGCTGGTACAAACCCTCTTCCATGTCTGCTCTCTGATGCAAGGAGAGAGATGAGGGAATGCAGCTGGTCCCATCAGTACGTCCCTAACTTGGCCAACAGAAGTCCAAGGAAAAAAAAAAAAAAGTCCATTTCTGTACAAAAACCAAGCAACAAGCTCCATCACACCAGAAACCACCCACAGACTCAAACCAGCAGCAACAAAGCAAGACCCTGCCCAGTCAGGCTGCACTCATGGGAGTAAGGGATACCCTACCCTGGGGACGTGAGCGCAGACATATCCCCGTGGCTGTCCTGGTCCTGGGCTGAACACAGCGGTACATGGTCCTGCCACCCAGCTGGGGCTCCCTGGTGTATCCCAGAAAGACTGGCCAGCACCGTGTGGCATCTCCTACTCGAGGTGGTACACCAAGGCCATTGAGCGTGGGTTTGCCTGTGTGTCCTTGTGCTTGGAAATGTATCGTTCCTTTGTGAGAGATTTTCTTTGATTGGTTGTTTGATGTAACTTTTTTGTTGTTGATTTTTGGAAAGTATTAAAAGAGTTTGGATTTTTTTACTATTATGACTTTATTTGGTAACTCAGGGATTCCCTTGTAAATAGGACATCTCTGCCTAGCACCAGCCAAGGGCAGCCCAGGGAATAACAGCTTTTGGACACTAGCACCCGCAGCCTCTTGAGCCTTCAGAGAAATACCAAGACAGCAAAATCAACACATCTTTGAGGATCCTACAAGGGCCAGAGGAAGGAGGCAGACCCACAGTAACCCACCTCACTTCGGGAAGGCATGAGCCTCCTGTATCTGTTAGCTCAGGAGCAAAGGGGTTGGAAGGACCCAATTCCAAGCCCTGCCTTGATTCCCATCCCCAACCAAACACACTTGGCAAAACAGAAATTCATCTCATTTCTCAAACTAAAGCCACAGCCCTTAAGCAGATTACTATCACCTGGTTAACCTGGAAAACACACCTGACCCAAGCATGTCTGCAGGGAGGTCCCCAAAACGCCCAGCAGACGCTCTGTGGGACACAGCAGCCAGCCCCAGCACACCCTGCCCGCAGCCCCACTCCCCTGCCTGAGTATCCCCTGGGCATCAGGGCTACTCACCACTCCCCTCCAGCGCCCACCAGCCACCCCCACCGCCCCCAAAGCGCTGCAGGTTTTACCTCTCAAAGCTGTCGCGCACTTTGACAATTTTGTGGTACCTCAGGGGTACCACATCAGCCTACCTGCTGGCTTGAAGGGGGCTCATCACACAAAGAGGCTGAGAAGGCAACCACAGGACAAACCTCCCTCCTGCCTGAACTGCCGGCTGCAGGACCAGCATCACCCAGCACGGCCAGACCTCCCACCCCAGCTGCAGTTAATCCCAAATTAAAGACTGGGGAGGGAGCACTTGGCTGCACTTGTGCAGGTCCCCATCTCAGCTTTCCTCTGCCAGGATGGGCTTGCGAGCTTTGCAGTTCCCTGTGGCTATTTTTAACAAAACTAAACGTAGACATGTCCCCAGAACAGGCTCGTCCCTCTGTGCGCTGCCAGGATGTTGTGAAGAGTACATTGCCATCCACAGGCTTGCTGGGGGAGCAGCATTTTCTTGTGGCCAAAGGAAAAGATGGGGTTCACCTGCTCTGCCCCTGTTTTGTGCTCATAAAGCCCAGTTTGTGCCTTAGCTCTCTGACACAAGTGATATCACAGCAGGCACCCACTGCTGCTGCTGGCTCAGGGTCTGGGCAGGTCTCTGTGGGGCGGCCAGGCTGTCACCCTGCCAGCCTCCCAGCCTTGCTCCAAGAGTGCCACATTTTCTCAGCAACATGCACCGTTTTTTCCCGTAAGGTGAACCCAGCTTATTCTTCCCAGCACCAGAAGCAGCGCAAATAACAGTGATGATATTTTCCTTTAGACTCTTTAACTTCTAACTCCCTGGGGTCACCTTGGCTGGCAGCTGCAGCACAGGGGAAGGCAAAGGGCCACAGAGATGATGTTTTGCTAAGTGACACCTGGGAAGGGACAGCCTCAGCAAATCCACTTCACGGGAGGAGTACAGCCCTGCAGCACCCAGCCCTTGGAAGAAAGGATGGTGGTGGATCCAGCCATGCTGACTGTCCCCCATCAGAAATACCCCAACCACCAGGAGCTGCCTGTGCTCAGCCACTCCTCCTGCTCTGGGGTCCAGGTGGCCTTGGATCCCCCTTCGGGGACCACACTCCCCATCAGTCTGCATACTTTAAGGGGACTTTTCTGCCACAGCTTCAGCAGATTAACTTCTTTTAGCCCTGATTTCCCAAAAAGCCTGGCTAATGACACACCACAACGGCATGAATTATTCAGCAGCGTGAGGATAAGCCAAGCTGCAGCGATGCTGGCATGGCGCCCGTCTGTCTCCAAGCGTGGGCTGGCTTTTGCTGCTTTGATCTCTCGGGCAGATCAGCAGCAGCTTGGCATCCACCACGCTGCTGCCATCAGCACACACCAGGCTCTTTTTTCAGCTAGAGACCCACTTTTGGCATAAACCAGGCTGCTGGGTCCCAGGACACAGCCAAGAAACCAAGGCACAGCTTTGGTGGGGCAGAGAGAAGAGCCAAGGCCAGCAAGTCCTTAAAGGCTCTGCCCACAACTTACACAAATGCATTCAGAAGAAAAATCATAATCTTCAGAGCAGCAAAGATGAAACACTTTTATTTGAATCCCTCAGCAGAAGGGTAACTCTTGTCTGCTGCTGTGGGGGTGGGAAAAGCACAGGGTCTGACCCTAGCTGCTTGCTGGGCTCACAGTCTCCTGCTCTCCTATGGACGCCCCCTCCTCCCCAGGCCCTTGGACTTGGGTGGTATTTGCAAAAAGAAAAAAAAAGAGAAAAAAAAAAAAAAAACAAACAGATGAGTCCCAAAAGTTGTAGCACATTCACTGGCATTAATGCTGCACCACTGCCCCATCAAGCCCCGCACAGCGGAGTCCCCCTTGGAGACCCCCTGCCTGGCCCCGGCCCTGCCAGGTAGTTATAAACATGCCTCGTGGAAGAGAAACCCCCACCTCACACCCCAGAGGCTTTTCACGTAAAAAATAGATCATATTTATTGATTAAAGTAAGATACATGATTCAGGTGCAGCACCAGCTCTCCCACTGGGCAGCTACACACGCTGTACGCTGACAATATCCATAGGCACGACACATGTACATTAACCATTTCTATATTTACACAATTTCCTCAGTTACAGAGCAGCCTACAATACACAAGTGTCAAGTTTTCATGTCCATTAGGTCCTATGTCACGTCCTCCTGGCTCGGTAGAGCCCCTCACGCCACATGCCCCATTGGCACACCTACCCCCTGCTCACCCCAATAAAAGTGAAGAACTGCAAAAAAACATTTAATGCTGCTGTGATATCCCAGTCTCTTTGGAAATGAGGTCTTCATCACTGATTGCAAAGTGAGTTTGTGTGCTAGGAGCCCTGCCAGCAAACCCACTGATGCCCAGTGCCGGGCTGGGGACATGCCCTGGCACACAGCTGTCCCCCAAAATGTGGCCAGCCTTTTCACAGGGCACTGACAGAGCTGGGGGCAAGCATCAGATGTCCCCTGCTCCTCACAGCATGCCCTCCTCTGCCAAGGGTGACAATTTCTGCACTCAGACACAAACCCCAAGGGCCACACTGGAGTCAGTACACAGCGATGGATGTGAATATTGCACTTTTCCCACCTGCAGCACACCCTGGAGCCCCCTCCCAGACCTGGGTGTTTGCTCTCTATCTTCACAGTCTCCTCCAGATGGAGGATTTGAGTCAAAGCTTTGCTCTGCTCATGACCAAGCAATGCCAGAGCATGCCAAAACCTTCACCACCACAGATTTGGAGGAGACGAGGTGAGCCCCGAGAGACACAGCAAGCAGGTGAGGGGCTGGAAAGGAGCAGCGACGTGGCACAGACCTACCCCGCACCTGGCCGTGGGTCCACGTACCAGCATGGGCACCCAAAGCAGAGCCAGCAAAGGGGACACAGGGCAAGACACCGAAACACCACACACAGGGGCGGCAGGCTGCAGGGACACTGCTCTGCGCAGCCTTCTCCTCCCAGAAGCGGGTCAAACACCAAAACTAACCCCAAGCCTCACTCATCCTCCATCGAAGATGGGAACGCAGCCCGCCAGTGCTATATTCACACTCCTTTCCCACCACCGCCAGCAGCCTTTGCCCACCCCCAGGGAGACGGCGGGCTGTGGGGATGAAGGCAGGAAGCCACCGCACTGCCGGTGTTCGGGAGATGCTGCGTTAGCCGGGAGGAGTTTGGCCCAGACGTGGGACAGCAGAGGGGTGACTCCGCCAAAACCGTTTCGCACCACTAGGAAAAGACATCCCACGGAGGATGCATTTGCTCTCTTGTCTTAAAAAAAAAAGAAAACCAGCAGAAAGGCAAGGAAACTCTCGAGGAAAGGAAGCTGGGCTCACTGAGAGGAAGGAAAGCAGCAGCTTTGCAAGGACCGTCCC